TCAGGCCCCTTGATTTACTCTTGCTTTCTATTTTTAATTTTTTTTTAAACAAAAAATAGAAAATTTACTGTTATGCAGACTACTGCAATATTGTAATAATTGTATAAATAATGTCAACCCATTCATGACTGCATATTAGAAAGGCTAGCTGGACATTTATTGAGCAATGACATCATTTGTTTACTTTTGAACATCAGCAAAAATCGAACATTTCCCTTACTTTGAGCTCCATTTCCAGGTTCTTTTTATAGTAAAACCAATCAAAATCACCTCTATTTCTATAATATTTTTTTATTCTATCAAATGTGACAAAGAAAATGAGAATACAACCATAAATACTATACGAAAATAGACCACAAAGTCGGCATTTTAATAAAAAAAAAAACGGTCGGAGTTTTTTTTTATTTTATTTTTATTAAAACGCCGACTTTGAGGTGTATTTTCACATAGTATTTATCGTTGTATTCTCGTTTTCATGGTCTCATGTGATAAAATGGAAAACATATTGCAGAAATAGAGATGATTTTGATTAGTTTCATGATGAAAACGACCTTGAAATTGAGCTCAAAGTAGAGGAAATGTTTGATTTTTACCAATGTTCAAGAGTAAGCAAATCACACCACACGTCAATACACGTCAACTGGGGAGTCTAATATTCTTTCACTAGTGCACTGATATTATTTATCCCATTACTGCATAACAGTAAATCTTCTATTTTTTGTATGAATAAAAAATCAAAATAGAAAGCAATAGTAATATAAGAGGGGCCTAGAGACGTGACTAATGAACAGAGGATATGTTATTTTAGTGCCAAAAATGTCTACATTGTTTATTTTGGACCCTATTTTGAAATTGGCATCTTTTTTAATTTGCATGAAATTGGCCAAATTGCCAATTTCTGACCACTTTAATGGGGAGTTCAAATCGGTAAATGGGCAGTTTCTTGTACTCAATTGATAGAAAAAATGGAGTTCTAAAGAAATAGCTATGAGTTTGGTCAACTGGAGCAACGGAATTGGCAAAAAACAGGGCTCAAATTCACCAAAATTGCCGATGCGTATATGTCGACGAGACCGCTAACTTCGCAGGAGATTAATTCCGTGAATTTTCGACCAAATTTCGTACTTTTGGTGTCATTACCATCGGAAAAAGATTCTCTATCATTTCATAACAAAAAATAATTTTTTTGTTTCCAAAAATTTTGCAACATAGAATGACAGTTTCAGAAAGGGGCTTGCGACAGTCAAAGGGTTAAGGGTACAAATATTTTAAGTAATGAGTGTACTATATGTGTATTTTACTTTTTATTGTTTTTTTAATGACTAGTTCTATTGCTAATTTAATATATGTTAGTGTAAACTTGTTATCTAGTACAGTGGTCCCTCGCTTTTCGCCAATCATAGGGGTATTTTCGTATAAACATGGACTCGCTTTTCATAGGTTGACTCGCAAGTCGTAGTTCGTCCGGGATCCATACCCACGGCGTGAGCCGTGGTGGCAGCCAGTCTGGCATTGTTTACCAGTGAGTGAAGGTCCCCTCACGTGCTCCAGCGAAATATTTCATAATATTCCATTTATTTTAGTGCTTGCAAGTACTAAATAAGCTACCATGGCTCCAAAGAAAGCTCCTAGTGCCAAGCCTGTGGTAAAGAAGGTGAGAAATGCAATTGAATTTAAGAAAACCATCATTGAACAATATGAAAGTGGTACAAGTGTGGCCAAACTGTCCAGGATGTATAAGAAACCCTACACAACCTTATGTTCCATAGTGGCCAAGAAAAAGGAAATCAAGGATGATGTTGTTGCAAAGGGAGTAACTATGCTGACAAAAATGAGATCACCAGTACTCGAACAGGTTGAGGAGTTATTAATGGTGTGGATAAATGAGAAACAATTAGCAGGAGATACTCTTATGACCTCGATTATTTGTGAAAAGGCTAGGCAGTTGCATAAAGATTTGGTAAAGAAATTGCCTGCAAATAGTGGTGATGTGAGTAAATTTAAGGCCAGCAAAGGCTGGTTTGAGAGATTTAAGAACCATACTGGCATACACAGTGTGGTAAGGCATGGTGAGGCTGCCAGTTCGGACCACAAGGCGGCTGAAAAATATGTGCATGAATTCCAGGAGTACATAGAGGTTGAAGGACTGAAACCTGAACAAGTGTTCAATTGTGACGAAACAGGCCTCCTTTGGAAGAAAATGCCAAAGAGGACCTTCATTACACAAGAGAAAAAGGCAATGCCAGGACACAAGCCTATGAAAGACAGGCTGAGGCTAATGTTCTGTGCTAATGCTAGTGGGGATTTCAAAGTGAAGCCATTACTAGTGTACCATTCTGAAAATCCCAGAGTGTTCAGGAAAAACAATGTTATGAAGAGTAAACTGTGTGTGTTTTGGAAATCTAATAATAAGGCATGGGTCACGAGGGAAATTTTCGTCGAGTGGTTCAATGAAGTGTTTGGCCCTAGTGTGAAGGAGTATCTCCTGGAAAAAGAAATTGGATCTCAAGTGCCTGCTAGTAATGGACAATGCACCTGCTCATCCTCCAAACTTGGATGACCTAATTTTCGAGGAGTTTGGGTTCATCACAGTAAAGATCTTGCCCCCGAATACCACTCCTCTCCTCCAACCCATGAACCAGCAGGTCATTGCAATCTTTAAAAAACTCTACACAGAAGCAATGTTTCACAGGTGCTTGACTGACCACAGACACTCACTTGACCCTAAGGGAATTTTGGAGAGAACACTTCAGCATCCTCCACTGCATAACCATTATAGGTATGACTTGGGAGGGAGTGACTACCAGGACTCTGAACTCTGCCTGGAGAAAATTGTGGCCAGATTGTGTCGACAAGAGGGATTTTGAAGGGTTTGGGACTGACCCTAATGAGCCTATGTCTGTTGTAAAATCAATTGTGGCACTGGGGAGTTCCATGGGGTTGGATGTGAGTTTGGAGGATGTGGAAGAATTGGTGGAAGACCACAACGAAGAGCTCACCACTGAGGAGCTGCAAGAGCTTCAGCAGGAAGAGCAACACATCGCAGCTCAGAATCTTGCTGCAGAGGAGGAGGAAGAGAGATGGAAGAAGGTGCCTTCTTCAAAAATTAAAGAGATTTTTACTATGTGGGGTAAGATGGAAAGCTTTATGGAGAATCATCACCCTGACAAGGTTGTTGCAAGCCATATTGGCAACATGTGGGCCATTTTAGGGAAGTGTTAAAGAGATGCCAGAAACAGAGCTCTCTCCCCAGTTATTTTGCGAGACAGGACTCCATTGACTCTCAAGGTGGTCCTAGTGGCATTAAGAAACAGAGAAGAGAAGCAACCCCCAGAAAAGCAATTGGTACCTGAGGTGTTGCTGGAAGGGGATTCCCCTTCCAAACTATAAACAATCCACTCTCTCTCCTCCTCCAGTCTCCCATACACTAAGAAGAATCTCCAATAAAGGTAAGTGTTATGCTGTTAATGTTTCATTCATCATTTCCCATTGTATTGTTTATGTACTACATGTATATTTCATGTAAAAAAATTTTTTGTTTTAATACTTCTGGGTGTCAGGAACGGATTAATTGTATTTACATTATTTCTTATGGGGAAAATTGATTCGTAAATCGTAAATTTCGTTTATAGTAATGGCTCCAGGAATGGATTAATTATGAAAAACGAGGGACCACTGTATTTATATGCACTTATAAGTGTAAAAAAAAAGGTGTTCCACTTTACGGAGGTAGCCTGGAACCTAACCTGCCATATAAGTGGGGCCCTACTGTATATAATAATATAAAATAATAATAATAATAATAATAATAATAATATAGATTATACATGTTCCATTTGCAGTCAAGAGAAATGTAAACATACATAAAGATGCAATAAAAATCATAAATATACATGAATTTCTTTTTTCACGTTATCTTTTTCATTTTTAATGCCTAGTGTTAGTAATACATATAATATCTACAGTGTTTTGCATCATATGAGACAATACTGATGTAGGTACTGACAGACAGACGAGTTATCTGGTATCAATAAATACAGTACAGTAATGTAAATTTATTTTCTCTTCCTTATGATTTACTTTATAATAAGGATACAGTATATAATACATATAACATACAAAATGTGTTGATCGACTGTTTATTTTATTAGTAGGGCTTCCGATCAACAGAAGGCCATTAGTAGTTTAGTTTTTGAGAAGCAAATGTTATACACTGATTTTCGACTGCACGGAGGGTTGATGCCCCTAACCCCTGCATTGCTCAAGAGTCAACTGTACTGCTATTTTAACACACCCGTCATCTCCCACCGAGGCAGGGTAACCTGAAAAAGCTTAAACCATCATTCACTCCATCACTGTCTTGCCAGAGGCACACTGATGCTACAGTTCAGATGCCCCTCCAAACTGCAAATATCCCCACCCCTCCTTCAGAGTGCTGGCACTGTACTTCACACTCCCATAGCACATCAAGTCCTAAAAACCAAACTTGCCTCCACTCACGCCTCTAATATATTCACACACATCTGCTGAATGTCATAAATGCAGTTCTGAGAAGGCTAGAGATGGTGAAGATATCATGTTAGAGAGCAATAATTGGTGCAATTAACATACAGAGAAGGGCTGGAGGGAGGGGTTATTAGTTTTTGAGTACTAGGGGCTTGACTTTCCAGCAGGCTTGTGTGTGTTAGGCTGGAGTGAAAATGAATTTTTATTGCTTGACATGCTGTTATAGTGTGGGTAAAGTAATGTTTACAAAGGGATTTGGGAAAATCAGAAAGGTGGACTTGAGTCTTGGAGGTGGGAAGTACAGTGACTGCAATCTGAACAAGGGGTTGAGATGTTACAGTTTAGAGAGCTATTTGAATTGTGATAACTGTGCACTTCTAGCAAGACAGCAGTTGAATGAATGATGTTGAATGTTTCCTTTTCTGGGGTTATCCTACTTTGGTGGAAGACAGGGCTATTAAAAAAAAGTAATCTCAATTCATTGTCAAGATATTAATGTGATATGGAATCTAAAAAAAAATAAAAATAAAGCAAACCACACAGCATCCTCTAATGGGGATACCTAACTTACCAATAAAGAATCGTCCAAAGTGGTGATATGCACCCTCCTTCATAGATGGTCCACACAGCTCAAGAGTAAAAACATTAGCAGTAAGGTTCTGGTTCTGAGTAACAAGTCCATCAAACCAAGGAACAACTACTCCTTGAGGCTGAGCTAATGCTGAGAATGCCAGCCCCAAAATCCCCTAGAATTAAAAAAAACATTATGAGAAATATTTGAGTTAACTTACTCAATGCATACTGTATTCACACGAGTCACATTTCTTATACAATGTATGAAAAAGTTAAATGCAGGAAATGCTTATTTGTATAACACACATAACATATGAAGGAAAACAAAAAAATCATTAATTGAAGAATACCTGAAATTTAAAAAAAAATTCACTGTATCTGTCAATACTGCACTCTGAACATTAAAACATGCATTTCTGAATTGTGGAACATGAGGGGCTCATTTGTAATAAATTTCCAGCTGTGGGGTAAAGCCACATGGGCAACACTTAGGACATTTATTAGGGAAAGGTTCCACTATGGGCTCTGTCAATCCAAATATATTAAGATTGACAAAGCTCCTAGTGGGTAAAACCTTTCCAAAAAATATGAACTGAGAATTGCACACAAGTTTTTACCTAACAGACTGTCTATGTTGATATACTTATTTATTGTACCAAATTTGTATTTTTTTAACATGTCGGCTCAGCCGTCTCCCACCGAGACAGAGTGACCCAGAAAAGAAACATTTTCACCATCATTCACACATAATCACTGTCTTTGCAGGGGCGCCCAGATACGACACTACAGCAACTTTTTATACCAAGTAAATATTAAATACATTTTGTAAATGACTTTCTATTAACTTAACCCCTTAATTATCCAAATGTAGATCTACATTGCAAACCACCAACACACAGTATGTGTACATGGACAAGATTACAACTCTAGAACATAAACTAAATGAACTGGAACAACTCAGCAACACCCACACCCAGTCTGAAGAATCCATCAACCTCCTAAAAGATCAAGTTACTCAACTGAACACCAACATCAAGAATGAAAGAGAAAGAGTGGATATGCAACTTAACGATGTTATGAACAACTTCCAAGACCACTTCGACCAACAACAACTGTCTGATTCAGTTGTAGTGAATAGCATACATATTCCAGCAACTAACCCAGGAAACAGGTAAACAAACCACTTTGAAACTTATCCTAGACCATCTTCAACTCAACATACCAAGTGATGACATAAAGGAATGTAAAGTAATAGGTAATCAAACAGGAAAAAATCAGTAACACTAAAATTCACTGTAGCTCTCAAAGAAATAATCTGTTAAATACGTCTACTACTGTGAAAAGTCATGTGTATGTAAACGAGTGCCTGACCAAACTACAGCAAAATCTCCTCTATAGACTAAGAAAACAATGACATGACTGGAAAATCCATCAGTGCTTTGTGAGGGAAGGAAAAATTGCTGCTAAGAAGGAAGCTACAGGAAAGAGATACTTAATCTCACAGAACATGATCTAAAAAGATTCCTAAGAGGCTCTGGCCTCACTGAATCAGAATAAAACACAGTTAATACCCACTTCCACAGAGTAGTGTTGTGAAACCTCAATTCTTTTATCAATTTATTCTCTTTGTCAGTCTGACAGCAGTAAATTGTCAAAGTTGCTCAAATGCTACTTACAGCTTACATTTTTTTTTTTCATTTACAGTGGAACCTCTACTTACGAGTTTAATCCGTTATATGACCCTGCTCACATCTGAATTTGCTCATTTGCAGTCAATTTTCCTCATTTAAATTAACTGATATGGAATTAATGCGTTCCAGTGGAATTCCAGGCACGACAAAATACCTCAATATTTCCCTAATATCAACTCTACGGCTTATTTATCTATCACAATTCATCTAATATGACATAATAAACAATATCAATAACATAGAAACATGATATATACACTAGAATGAATAAAATACATGTCATTACACATGTGGCAGCCATTGTTGTTATTGGGGTTTATAGGGCCACCACAGTGGCCATTCTTGCTCCTGACTACATGTGTAGAGAACCTAGCATAACCCAAAAAAGTCAGACAGAGTGAGCTATAATTGCTGCTCTTAATGCTACACTTAATAGCTACACTCTTAATGCTACACTTTGTCACTGACTCCTTCTGCTTTAGTATTATACATATCATAGAAGTGGTACATTAGTGCTGCCTGTCCAAGTCCTTAGCTGGTCTAGTGGCTAACGCAACGGGCTGGAGTTTTGAGACTCTATGACCGCGGGTTCAATCCCGGCCGGGGGTATGGTTTGTTTGCAATCGTGTCATTACGATTTCTTGAGTCATGTTGACGGCAGTGAAGAGACTTGAGCTAGAGTTCGTCACGGTCACGCTAGCTGGAGATTCGTCTGTAAAAACTTGCATTTGTGGTCACAGAGGTGCCTGTGCTAACCTTCCTATGGTGTAGAAATATACCTAGTTGGATGAATCTTATTGTGGCTAGCTGGTCTAGTGGCTAACGCGACGGGCTGGAGTTTTGAGACTCTATGACTGCGGGTTCAATCCCGGCCGGGGGTATGGCAAGTCCTTAACCCTCCACCAAGTACGTTTATTTATGATTTCCTGCTTTAATTCCATGGAAATCATCCTCTTTTTCTTTTCAGCACTGTCCTTTGCACTTGCTTTCTTAGGACCCATGGTTAAAAACAAGAAATAACTGCATGAAACCTAAGGAAAATATGAGAATTCCCTCCACCGCAAGTGGAGTGGACTGAGCATTGTCTTGATACTGCCATCTCGTGGTGGCATCCAGAAACTCACTTATAGTATAGGGTACAAAAACGTTGCTACCAGGGTACAACAAGGTTGTTTTCAACGTACAAGGTCTGCCACTGCTGCTTCATGTTGTCTGCCACTGCTGCTTCTTCATGTCTGCTACTGCTGCTTCATGTTGTTTGCAACTGCTGCTTCATGTTGTTTGCAACTGCTGCTTCATGTTGTCTGCCACTGTTGCTTCATGTTGTCTGCCACTGCTGCTTCATGTCATCTGCCACTGCTGCTTAATGTTGTCTGCCACTACTGCTTCATGTCATCTGCAACTGCTGCTTCATCTTGTCTGCCACTGCTATTTCATGTTCTTTGCCACTGTTGCTTCATGTTGTCTGCCACTGCTACCTCATGATGTCTGCCACTGCTGCTTCATGATGTCTGCCACTGCTGCTTCATGTTGTCTGCCACTGCTGCTTCATGTCATCTGCCACTGCTGCTTAATGTTGTCTGCCACTGCTGCTTAATGTTGTCTGCCACTGCTACCTCATGATGTCTGCCACTGCTGCTTAATGTTGTCTGCCACTGCTACCTCATGATGTCTGCCACTGCTGCTTAATGTTGTCTGCCACTGCTACCTCATGATGTCTGCCACTGCTGCTTAATGTTGTCTGCCACTGCTACCTCATGATGTCTGCCACTGCTGCTTCATGATGTCTGCCACTGCTGCTTCATGATGTCTGCCACTGCTGCTTAATGTTGTCTGCCACTGCTACCTCATGATGTCTGCCACTGCTGCTTAATGTTGTCTGCCACTGCTACCTCATGATGTCTGCCACTGCTGCTTCATGATGTCTGCCACTGCTGCTTCATGATGTCTGCCACTGCTGCTTCATGATGTCTGCCACTGCTGCTTCATGTTGTCTGCCACTGCTGTTTCATGTTGTCTGCAACTGCTGATTCATGTTGTCTGCCACTGCTGCTTCATGTTGTCTGCCACTGCTGCTACATGTTATCTGCCACTGCTGCTTCATGTTGTCTGCCACTGCTGCTTCATGTCATCTGCCACTGTTGCTTCATGTTGTCTGCCGCTGCTACCTCATGATGTCTGCCATAGCTGCTTCATGATGTCTGCAACTGCTGCTTCATGTTGTCTGCCACTGCTGTATTATGTTGTCTGCCACTGCTGCTTCATGTTGTCTGCCACTGCTGTTTCATGTTGTCTGCCACTGCTGCTTCATGTTGTCTGCCACCGCTGCTTCATGTTGTCTGCAACTGCTGCTTCATGTTGTCTGCCACTGCTGCTTCATGTTGTCTGCTGCTGATACCTCATGATGTCTGCCACTGTTGCTTCATGTTGTCTGCCACTGCTGCTTCATGTTGTCTGCCACTGATACCTCATGATGTCTGCCACTGCTGCTTCATGTTGTCTGCCACTGATACCTCATGATGTCTGCCACTGCTGCTTCATGTTGTCTGCCACTGATACCTCATGATGTCTGCCACTGCTGCTTCATGTCTGCCACTGCTGCTTCATGCTGTCTGCCACTGCTGCTTCATGTTGTCTGCCACTGCTACCTCATGATGTCTGCCACTGCTGCTTCATGTTGTCTACCACTGCTGCTTCATGTTGTCTGTCACTGCTACTTCATGTTGTCTGCCACTGCTACCACAAGATGTCTGCTCCCACTTTTGCTAGCATGTTGAAGAGCTTTCTAATATGTGAAGGTTGAGGGGCAGTGCCAATCGGACAGGTATTGGAGGGTGATGTCATTTGCTTACTCTTGAACATCACCAAAGAATCAAACATTTCTGCTACTTCGAGCTCAATTTCAAGGTACAGGAAGGCCCCGCTTTACGGCGTTTCACTTTATGGCGTTCCGCTAATACGGTCATTTCAAATTATGACCAAAACTCGCTATACGGCTCCCCCCACCTGACTTTCTAATACGGTCACCGCGCCCCACCTTGTTTGTTTACATTCTTCGTGAGCTCAGTAGGCACTAAGTCTCTCCATTTTGTCTGGAAACTCCAAAATTTCAAATGTTTTTAAAAGTTATTTCATATTTTATATATACTCTGATAATTATACTTATGTATACCTGTACTTAAATAAACTTACATACTGTGCTGGCATGCAGGTACACATTAAAATCAGTAAGAGTGTCTTATGTCTCCAGACGTCATATTAGTAATGATAATAATAATCATCGAGTCTCATTTAAATGTCATATATTACGTTAAATACACATTTTCATTAATCCATCTATGATATTTTTTCAAAATTATATAATAAACACGATACATAACATAAAAAGATGTTAAATACACCCCACAATAGAATAAATAAACATAAATATGAGATGTGGTAGCAGACGACTTGCACAAGTGACGCCATATTAGAAATGCTAA